GTCGAGATAATTGGCGTAAACGTTTTTGTTAGTATTATCGCGTTATTTTCTCCGTTAATTATTGCCGTGATTGAAGTGATATCAAAATAAAAAGAGATATTTCACTTCGAATTCGTATGGAAGTGTCGCTCTGACTTTTTTATAATACCATTATTAACACCGGGAAGAGGTTGAGTAGTCGAATTTCCTTCAAGATATCTTCCAATTTATGTTTCGAAATTGGTCTCGTAGAAACTAACCAGTCATGTTAAAATGTGAAATTATTAATTGCTATCTCTCTGAAATTTTCTCATGGCCAGGAAAGGATGCATTAACCGGAGAGGAAACGTTACCTTTACACAATTTCCTCCTTATTAAATATGTGTGTCCCTGTAGAAGTAGGTAAATGGTAGTGAACGTTATTCAATTATAGGTTTTGCTTGAAAAATGCATGGAACCAATCCAATCGTTAAGGTGAAGTGAAACATCCTTCAAATCAGTCGATTCGAATACAACACTTCTTTTTAAGGGTATTGGACCAAACTGCCCGAAACATTGACACATGACTTGTGATCATTTAAGAATTGTCCTGATACATTCAAAATTTAAATTTTTGGAAAACATTTCTTTAACTTGGCCCAGACCAGAACTAAAATGGCGTCGAACTCTCATATTTCGATCAATCATCGAGGGCTCTGATATGAGAAACGAAAGCGTCAGGAAAATTTTACGACAATTTAGAACACTCTGGTAATCGATAAACTCGCATTTGAACGAGATAAAGGCAAAAAAAGTGTTGTATGCGCTTTTTTGCTAAAACGATGGGAATACGAGGTCTCGGAGTGAAAATTTAATTGACCTGTAAATCACAGATGGCGCAGGGAGTCCCTCCGCAGTCAATTAGGGCCCCAGAAGGCACGAATCCAGAGGATTTCTGGAGTTTTACTTCGATTTCTTTATAATTATTGTACGAAAACGACAGGTGGAGTATGTCATTTGGTACAATACACAATATAATTCGACCCTGCTGTCAATATAAAAACGAACGTCGGCAACGTAAGCATTTAGAAAAATCTTCTTTATCGACGTTGATCAAGTTCTTCGACGTGTTTCACTTCACCTTAAGGGAATTTGGTATCTACCAGACTTCCGGACACTCAAAATCCCCTTAACCATTGGACCGATTCCATGCACTCTTCTTTATAGTATCTACTCTGCACATTGATGTCTCATTTAACACCTTTGGAAGTTAATTCTTGATCCCAACATTAGCGTCAAAAGGAACAACCATGACTCACAGGCTTTTCCTGAAGAAAATGTTGAGGATATCATATGGAACCTTATACCGCAGGAAGTCCAGTCACTTGTTATTAAATGAACTTGATGAGCACTTCTGGCATACATTCATCGCATGATTTTAAATTATCGCATTAGATCATCGGTCTGAGATATCACAAGGATTTCTCTCTCTCGCTTTCCTCAGCGGAAGATACTAAATCTTGGACCATTTACAGGAGAGATTCTCCAAGCCGGAAATTCAAAAAATGTTGAAACGTCTAAGCGAGTTATAAACAATTCTTTTCAGCGAAAAATCATTTTGAAGAGGTGAAATCATCCCCTGAAAGTCATTTGATTTTCAGTTTTTATTTTATTTCTCGTAAACGATGGGAAATTCGACAAAATGCTTCCAATAAAAGATATTTCTTTTGTATATGTATTGATATTTCTCGTGTGCTTTACCCATTTCTTTGAGGAATTCCATCATCACAACTGATGAAAATTGGAAAGAATTAGAAAAAGTATTAGTATGATCTAAAAATCTTTGAGTTCTCGTAAAGAAAATATTCTATACAAGTATCGTGAGTCTAGAAATTGTAATTGTAGTACGTGGCAAAATGAAAATTGTATACATACGGTAACCGATTCAGTATATACCTGTAACTTATTTATGATGATTTATGTAAAACGTGCAAATCTTACACTTACACGTTCAACAAATTGTTACATATTGTAATATACTACTCGATTCTCCTCGGAATATTTAATGTCAAAAACAGTGGAACAGTTGACAACTGTTTTATGAGGTTGACGTCTTCGTTCAATAAAGAATATTATTTCTAATAATCTCAACCATTTTTTATAATATTAAGAAATCGGTTGTTGCTATAAGCAGTTTACCAAACCATAAAAAGAAAATTTGAAACTCATATATCCTTAAGAAGGGATTTCTACAATTAACGATGAATTAAGAAAAGGATTGTGTTGATCCTACGTTGTTCTATTTTCAATACATAGTAATGTTTCACGAAGAAACTAAACTCATAAAAATTGTTATTTGCAGTTTTGCAATCATTTATTGCAATTCTTTAAATTTTTCTAATTTTTGCTTTCACTCGGGGATAAATCTTATTAAAAGAATTCTTTATATCTATCTCTTATTAGAAATGTTTTGTCGTATATCTTATCGTTTGCGAGAAATAAAATGAAAACTGAAAATCGAACAGTTTAGGGAATGACGTCACCTCTTCAAAATGATTTTCGGCCGAAAAGAATTATTTATTCTCACTTAGACACACTGTAAATATCGCCTGAGTTTAATTTTTTAATTTCACGGCTGGAGAACCTTCCTTGTTAGAAGAAATTATTTACCTACTTACTGAAGATAAAACATCGCAGATATTTCAAGCGATTTAATTTTCCCACGGAGCGTGAGCAGTTTTTTTCATCCACAAATCAATCACACCTTCCCGCGACCTTCCGTCAGATCGAGTCCACGATCATTTATGTAAAACTCCACCTACATTCTGATTTCTCCTACCTTTATTCATCCGAGGACGCAGCAATATTTATAGAATCTATATTTAGCATTGGATTTATTACCGGATTTTATTCTGCAGATTTTTGCGTTACGATTTATAATATAGTCACCAGGCCACAAAATTTGACGCTGACACATCGTGCTTACCAGAACGGGCCCCTAGAAAGTAGGTACTCAAAGTGCAACCAGTTTACAATGGTCCATTAAATCAGTGCGAGTGGTGACCAGGGTAGCTATATTCCTAGAATAATAACAAGGGTAAACTACAAGACATGCATCGCTGATTTTCGCGAAGGTCGCATATTTAATACATGAAGCAGAACATCCCCGCACTCGCAACATCAAGGTGATTACCATGAGGAAGTATCAAGGCCAGAGATGATTTTTAAATAGTTATAATTTGACTGTTCCAGCACTAGAAAACTAATTTCAGGGTCCTAAATATAAGAAGACTTTTTATTTCGATCATGTGCAGGTATTAATAAAAGATGCATACTTAGTAGTCACTGACGGCGTCATTACCCGTGAAACTACCATCCTGATCTGGCTTCGTCATAACGCCTTTATTATCTTATACAAACAGTAGAAAAATAATAACCGTAACATAAATTCCTTGTAATTATCGATGCAACTAGGATTGTATAGTATACACGTAATCGCAGTCGTAATCGTAATCATAATCATAATCGTAATTGTAATCGTAATCGTAGTCGTTAAATCATCCCTAAGACGTAACAACTAGAGACAGAAGTATATACAGTTTGGCGGGTCGGCTTTAAGTTCTGCAAAGCGGACGGAGGAGCGATCCGCTTTTAAGAGCAGGGTCCTCCTTCCAAAGTCCATCGGCTCGGTAATGTCAAATTCGGAATGATCATTACTGATTCTATGTGACCGATGTCTCCGAAGTTGTCAGCCGACTGCGCATTTCGAGCTTCCTTAGAGTTCAGCATAGGTGTCGCGTAGCTTCATCCTGACTGGCGAAAAATGAAGTGCGACAGTGCAAATAGTTTCCTAGTTTGGGTCATGGTTTCGTGTTTGGACGTGGTCACGATCAGCTGAAGAGAAAGAAAAAAAAGTACTTGTCCAGTAGCCACGTGGTTCTTCCAGGGAATGGTAAAAAGTAAAGAGCGCGCAGCGTCACGGCGCCTTCACGTAGATCCAGAGATTGGAAAGGGCAGTGCTCTTCCCAGAGTTCCTTCCTTTAGATTAGTTGGTTATCCAAGAGTTATGCAATAGCGGACTGACGGATGGAAGGACCAAGCGATCGTCTACTATCGCGCGGCTTCCTTTATCTATGCGTGATCAGGGCGAGGCACGATTTCCCTGCTGGTCCCGCACCAGATCTCCGCCTCCGCACTCGGTTCTTAGAATGCACATCGAACGTTAACGGGGTTTAAACACTGCTAGAACGTTGCCCCTACGAACGAGACCATGCAAATGAAAGTGTTCGTAGCCATTTAATCGATTCTAGTGCACGGAGCTAAGCGTGTGTACCCGCTAACGCACTTGTGCTCTCCTGTGTTGCCAATCCGTTCTCTCACTCTGCGTAATTATGTAACTTAACGTCCCTGCGGCATGTCTGGGATACAAGTACAGTACAGTGTAGCATACAAGTGTAGGACAGATGCTCGCAAAATGTCCGCATTGAGGCAGAAGTCTGAGGTGATCATAGGATTCGGAAAGTCCAGCTCAATGCTAAGTGGCGGTCAGAGAACCTTACCTCAGGTGCTAGATTTCTGGGGTTCCTGTGTCATGGATTGAGCAAAGGGGCGATGTAGAGGAGGCGAAATCGTGAAAGGGGTCGATACGTCTTCGATATTAGTAGATGTCACTACCACCGAGAGGCCTGGACCATGGGGTTACTTTTACGGGTCCGCGGAGGTGTTACCAGGGTAAGCTCCAATAGCATCTTCCAACCGGGCTACCCAGAGATGTCTGCCGTTGGTAGGGTCTGTTCGAGAAATTGTAATAAACGTGTTGAGAGTTACAAGTGCCATTGAAACCGGCGATCGAGTCCCCGAATGTAAGTCCACGCGTGCAAAAGTAGGAATCACCGGCACCCTGCGACCGGACTCCGTGGGATCTGGTCGCTGGTTTCTACTAGAAGCATACCATGGTTCTTGCTCTCGCGGACGCGGCGATCCTCGTGGTCGAGTCGATAGAGGTGTTAAAAAGTAAGGGAATAATAAGTTAATGTGGGATTTTCTGGCAATCAGAAGCTACCGGCGGCACCGCGAAGGAACTGGTCGATTTGCGCAGCAGACAGGGGTGAGTTGGAGCCGGAAGTCGACTGCGGTGCTTGGACGTAGTAGAAGGACTGGGCGTCTCTCTGGGGATCGAGCAGTTGAAACCTGTGCGGCTGCTGCTGTTGCGGCTGCTGCTGTTGCTGTTGCGGCTGCTGCTGTTGCGGCTGTTGCTGATGCTGCTGCTGCTGACGGCGCTGCTGCTGGGCGTACAGCTGCTGGGACTGCTGCAACAGCTCAGCCTGCTGCTGACGGAAAATAGTCTGTTGGGGCTGGGGAGCTACCGAGGAGGCGGGCGAAGACTGAGCTGGGGCCGGCTGTCTGTAGAGCGACGACTGCAGAGGCTGTTGAGTTCGCTGGTGGTGTTGCAACTGCTGCAGGCCTAACAAGGACTGTTGCTGGGCTACGAACGGTTGGAGTTTGTGACTCAGGGTGAAGTCGCCTATGGTCTGTGGTAAGCTTTGATAAAGTTGGGTGTTGTACTGACCGGTGGCGGGGTCGAGCACGAGCTCGGATTGGTAGATGGGGTCTGAGGCAGGGGCGGCCTTAACTCTCGGAACTCCGGGGGTGGCTCCGGGACGGGGTGAGACTGCCACGGTGTTGACGTACCGCTCCAGCTCGGCGGCGAAGTCGAGCTGGGGTGTACTCGCGGCGGTGGTGCGGTGTACGCTGGGAGATGTGGTCACTCGGGGTACGAAGACCACGCCGGGTCTCTCGGTGCTACTCGGAGAAACGTACTGAGCGGCTACCTGGGCTACGTGGGGCCGTGGAGTTATGGCTACGGATTGGGGTCGGGCTCGTTGGACCACGCGCGGGGTGCTGGTCTCCACGGGCCGGTACACCGTAGAGGACAGGGTAGGCTGAGCGTGGCGCAGGGTCGACGGCGTGGTGGGCGATTCGTATTGGGAGGTGGCGGCCGAAGAGAGTCTATAGTGCGACGGGTTCGGCGTTGAAGCGGGTTGGTACAGGGCCGAAGAAGGTGCCGCCGAGACCTGAAGGTAGGAGGGCTGTTGAGGTCGCCGGAAAGCGCTGGGCGTGGGCCGCAGCTGGGGCTTCGCGTCTTCCAGTTCTTGACTGGCATCGTCGTCCAGTTGGTACTGGGTCTGGAAGATGGTGGTCGGTGCTCTGGCAGTCGTGGTTGGGTAGTTGGGTCGAGACGGTCGAGGGACAGGTCGTACCGCTGGATAATTGGCCGGTCCCGCGACTTCGTCGTCGTCTTCCTGCTTCTGTGGGAGATCATCGTCGTCGTCGTCCTTCGGGGCGTTGGGATCGCAAGGGTTGCCAGAGACGTAGGTGAACTCCCTCTTGTTGCCGTCGGGGTCTACGTAACCGTACTTCCCGCGGACCACGCAGTCCGTGCCACGGGTCTCTTCCTTGAAGGAACCGTCCGCGGCCTCGTAGCCGAAAGTGAAGGACCCGTCGTCGTTGACTTTGTTGTAGTTACGGATCGTCTGGACCGGAGGCGGCTTCGCGCTCTGTAGAGTGTCCTTGGAACGCGGTGACGGCAGTGCCCTCGTCCTGGGCTGGTACACCGCAGTGGCGTAGTCGTCCTCCGCCGCTTGACTGCCCTCATCCTCTTCGTAGTACACCTGAGGCTCCGCGATGCGAGGACGGATCTGCACCCGCCTTGATTCCGCCACCACCAGTAGACATGCCGGGATTACCTGGAAAAAAAAAAAATACGACGATAATATCCATGCAAATCAGGAAATTACGTGCGTCACTCCCTGAGCTTTGCTGCCCCGTCATTCATCGATAATGTGATTCCAAAGCGCCGACATTGCGCCGCGGGCTTTCTGCCGAGTCTTAATCGAAGGATCGGTGCGCCAATTGCACTTTTATCATCCTTCGATACGACGTGCCGCCATTTGGTTGGCAAATATTATTCTCTAAACCTATCATCAAGGGAATGCAATTAAATTCCACTGAGCCCAGCCGTCGCGTTTTCCTGCATCGCTCATCTCACTCTGACATTTAATATGCGCTCAGGATGCAACTAATTGAATCCGCTTCGATTACTTCCGTATAGCTTCTTTGCTGATCGCTTCCAGGCCGCCGCCTCGAGTCTCGACCAGGTGTCGACAGACTTTCTATCGGAATTATTCAACGACACTCGTAATGAAGGCGTCGGAATTAATAAAGACGAAGGTAATATCGTGATACGCTCGTGACGATTTCAGTGACAGTGGAAACAATCTTCGTATCTCTTTACAATCAATGGAAACAATTCACACGTAGGTGCGAACTCCTGTGAGTTCACTCTTACGCCCATCGCTAAGAAGAGTGGCCGAGGCAAAAATCTGAGACTGCAATTGAAAGAGAAAAGTTGCATTGTTTGGCGATATCAATCTCACGTCGGAAGACATTCCTAACTCTATATTTAAAAACTCTACAAAACCTTCGTTTAGGAAACGCGAACCGATCCCTACTTAAGTGGTTTATCAGCCACCAGGAACGAAGAACGCTATTTTTTATTAGTACTTAACTCTCCAAGTCTAAGTTAACGATCTTGATTGGATATCTAAATGTTTTATTTTTTTTGATCATTTAGTTTGCCGACGGGAATGGCAGTCTCATTTAGTTCACTAAAACGACTCTGTTAATTTATCTCGATAGAAACTCCGTGTCCTTTGAATGTTTCAACCGATTCAAAGTTGGATTGATCTGGAAATCGAATGATTCCATTTTATACAAGTTAGGCCTGAATATTTTCATAGTGCTAGTCAATGGGGAACGACGGAGTGAAATGAATTCAGAAATATATTAAAAATATGAGTTGATCGCATTCATAAAACATGACATCTCATATATAATATGTAAAATTTAATACTACATCTTATGTTAATAATTGATAGAGAACTCTATTCCTTGGGTTAGGGGTGAAGGGGAGGGCCATGAGAATGAAGTGAGGCTCATTTGATTTAAAAATTCAGGTTTCCAAGGTTTAATCAAGCCATGTTCCATTTGGACCTCAATCGTACAGAACTAGCTTTCATTAACATCTTCTGATCTTAAGTTGAAGTAAAACACGCCGTGGAACTTGATCGACGTCGATAAAGAAGATTTTTCTAAATTTCTGTGTTGCCGACGTTCGTTTTTATATTGACAGCTGGGTCGAATTATATTGGGTATTGTACTAAATGGCATACACTACCTGTCGTTTTCGTACAATAATTATAAAGAAATCGCCGTAAAACTCCAGAAATCCTCTGGATTCATGCTTTTTGGGGCCCAAATTGACTGCAGAGGGAACCCCTGCGCCATTTGTGATTTCCGGGTCAATTAAATTTTCACTCCGAGACCTCGTATTCTCATCGTTTTAGCATAGAAGGGCATAAAACACTTTTTTTTGCCTTTATCCCGTTCAAATGCGAGTTTATCGACTACCAGAGTATTCTAAATTGTCATAAAATTGTACTGACGCTTTCGTTTCTTATATCAGAGCCCTCGATGATTGATCGAAATATGAGAGTTCGACGCCATTTTAGTTCTGGTCTGGGCCAAGTTAAAGAAATGTTTTCCAAAAATTCAAATTTTGAATGTATCAGGACAATTCTTAAATGATCACAAGTCATGTGTCAATGTTTCGGGCAGTTTGGTCCAATACCCTTAAAAAAAAGTGTTGTATTCGAATCGACTGATTTGAAGGGGGTTTCAGTTCACCTTAAATTCTCGCGTTATATTCCAATTTCTCACGCGCGATCGTGAGGTTTTCTATGAGGTAAACGTTGCCGACACGTGTCCCAGCTGTTGTGGGACCGGCGTAAAGAACGCGAAGCTCCACATTCTGGACATTTATATTTTTTCAGCATTTCCATAAGTTTCAGCGTCAAAGTTTTCATTGATGGCGCAGAAAGCAAATCCGGTGGTAAAGCGGGACACTTCCGGTAAAATAGACGGTGAGAATGCCCTGTATCGTGGTTACGTAATTGCACCACTCTCGAGTGACCCGAATCCGAAGGCTTGGCACTCCGCGGCCTAGCGTGAGATTCAGTTACGGAGGGTCGTAAGTCGGCGTTGCTGGTTCTCCTTGAACCGATGCGGTAAGTAAGGCTTAGGCTTCCACCACGCCTCGGCGAGCCAGTCATGAGACGCCACACAGGAAACGTACCGTTATATGCTGGCGCTTTTACCCGCGTCGACTCAACTGTTCTCGAAAGTCGTTACCAGGTAAATTAGATGAACGCGGTTCCATACCGGTCCGGCATAAGTGTGATACGTTAAAATGTGGTTTTATGCTCTTATAAGGTTCCGAGTTGGAATCGGCCCCTTTCCTTGACTGCACTCCAGGCGTCGTCACTTTTACTCTCACTTCGGCGTGGCGCGTTCTCGAATAGGTATTATCCCTGTCCAATAAATCCTGTACGAGGATGATATAAGTCTACCAGACAATTAATAACTTATAATAGAAAAAAATACTCATGGGTTCCATTTAATTTCGTTTTTGCTCTTTCATGATTTAAGGTGAAGTAAAACATCCTTCAAATCAGTCGATTCGAATACAACACTTTTTTTAAGGGCATTAGATCAAACTGTCCGAAACTTTGACACATCACTCCTGATCATCTAAGAATTGTCCTGACACATTCAAAATTTGGATTTTTCCAAAAAATTTTTTAACTCAGTCCAGACCAGAACCAATATGGCGTCGAGCTCTCATATTTCGATCAATATACAATTATCGAAGGCTCTGATATGAGAATCGAAAGGGTCAGGACAATTTTACGACAATGTAGAACACTCTGGTAGTCGATAAACTCGCATTTGAACGGGATAAGGGCAAAAAAAGTGTTGTATGCGCTTCTTTGGTAAAACGATAGGAATACGAGGTCTCGGAGTGAAAATTTAATTGACCTGGAAATCACAGACGGCGCAGGGGGTCCCTCCGCAGTCAATTAAGGCCCCAAAAGGCATGAATCCAGAGGATTTCTGGAGTTTTACTTCGATTTCTTTATAATTATTGTACGAAAACGACAGGTGGAATATGCCATTTGGTACAATACACAATATAATTCGACACAGCTGTCAATATAAAAACGAACGTAGGCATTTAGAAAAATCTTCTTTATCGACGTCGATCAAGTTCCTCGACGTGTTTCATTTCATCTTAAGATATTGAGCGAGGCTGTATCCGTGTCGTAACTCCTCGGATAGTCAGGCCAACAAACCAGAGGATTCCTGATGTGGCTACTTTTACTTGCCGAACGTTGATCTTGGAAATGCTGCGGAAGGTAGTATTTCCAGGAGCAACGTTCGGCTCCTCCGAGGACACCTCGCTTGACCTTCAAAATTTAGCCTTCCGAGTTAAATCATGTGTCCATTAACAACTAAATTTAAAAAAAATATTTGTAGACATTTTTTATCGATCAGCTTAAGTAAGTGGCTCACCGGATTCCCCTAATCTATCTCATTATTGGTCCTAATACAAATATCTTCTACCTCGTTTTTTACTGGAAATTTTTTTCAGATATGTGCCCATAATTATGAAAGTGGTCTGTCACATATTTTTTGTTTCGAAATTACATTGAATTAATTTAGTTTGAAATAATGTGGGGTGAAATAACTGATAAACTCATTTTTTGTTCAATTTTGACTTAGACCACTTTCATAATTATGGGCACATATGGGATACAAATTTTATAAAATGTTTACAGATAAAATGGATACTATGCTTTATAGATTTAGTACATAAGTGTATTAATATTTCTACAGAAGTTCCTAAAATTATAACGAGATGTTAGAAAACTATAAATCTATTTGCAAGTTCGCAATAAACGTCCTAATTCACTTTTAAGACATCACGTTTATAGTTTTACAGGGCCGTGGGTACAAAAAGTGTATGAACGTTGTAAATATTTTTAACGGGGCAGCGTCTGCGTTTAAACGTAACGGCGCAAGTAAACTCCACCTCCTAGGTGCTCTAAGAAGCCAGCGTTTGTATTTTAGACATAAATCACTATAGTCCATTGTTTATCAACGGTACCGCAACGTGCGAATACACCGCAGAACTCGACAGGGGAGAACGTACGCTCCCAAGCATTGACAGAACGAATTGTAGACACGTGAGATCCTCCCGGCGAATCCTAGTCCGCACCTTAACGCTCGTCTAGCCGCCTGAATTACCGTGGAACCCTTTCTCTAAATCGCAGCAGGCTGCGCAAGTCCGGAGGCGTGCATAGAAACATAGTCTCGTCAGGAAGATCCAGAGCGATGCGAGGCGTCCTTGACTCGCGGTGCCGCAACATTTTCCACCAATCGTGGGAGCATCGTTTCGCACGTGCGAGTAGTCTGGCTGTCGATACAGTTTCCCACGAGGGATCCTCGCATTTCAGCAAGTCGAAATGCCGTCTTTGCCTCGCAAAAGACCGTTAAGGTGAAGTGAAACCCCCTTCAAATCAGTCGATTCGAATACGACCCTTTTTTCTTTAAGGGTATTGGACCAAACTGTCCGAAACATTGATACATGACTCGTGATTATCTAATTGTAAGAATTGTCCTGATACATTGAGAATTTGGATTTTTGGGCAACATTTTTTACCTTAGCCCTGGCCAGAACCAAAATGGCGTCGAGCTCTCTCATATTTCGATCAGTATACAATTATCGAAGGCTCTGATATGAGAAACTTTCGTTCTTGACTTCGTAAGTGCATGCATCGAGCTGGGCTCAATTGCCTTTACATCCATAGTCAAGACTTTGGACCACGAGAATCAAATCAGAGGAAACGGGATCATCCATCATTCTAACTGTAAAACCTTGTTAAGTTATTAACTTATGACAACACCGAGTGGGTATTCGAATACAACACTTTTTTTAAGGGTATTAGACCAAACTGTCCGAAACTTTGACACATCATTCCTGATTATCTAAGAATTGTCTTGACACATTCTAAATGTGGATTTTTTATATAAATTTTTAAACTTAGACCAGATCAGAACCAAAATGGCGTCGAGCTCTCATATTTCGATCAGTATACAATTATCGAAGGCTCTGATATGAGAAACGAAAGGGTCAGGACAATTTTACGACAATGTAGAACACTCTGGTAGTCGATAAACTCGCATTTGAACGGGATAAAGGCAAAAAAAGTGTTGTATGCGCTTCTTTGCTAAAACGATGGGAATACGAGGTCTCGGAGTGAAAATTTAATTGACCTGGAAATCACAGATGGCGCAGGGGGTCCCTCCGCAGTCAATTAGGGCCCCAAAAGGCATGACTGGAGTTTTACTTCGATTTCTTTATAATTATTGTACGAAAACGACAGGTGGAATATG